TTTGAAAGAAAACAGCAACAACATCTTACATACAATCTGTTTCTGGACCAGTATTTAACAGAACACTAACTCTTACTAAACGAAAAAACCCATCTATATGGGCCCCTCTCCATCGCCATACTCGATTTTTGGGAACTCAGCGCCTTTCTATGGTGAGACTCTCTTCGTGAGCCCCCCTGGGTTGGTCCCATCCGGGATATCGTCGATGAGGTTTGGAAGCTCAGGGCCTTTGAGTTGCGGGGCTCTCTTGTGTGCTCCGCCTGGGTTAGTTCCATCCGGGATGTCCCCAAAACCTGGAATATCAGAGCCTCTCTTGATTGTAATTGTTTGATCAGGTGGTGGAGCCTTGAGAGATTGACCTTGGTTCTTCCTTTTCGCCAATAGTTGATCCTTAAGGGTATTTGACCTCCTCTTGACTTCAATTGGTTCGCCTGGTGGTGGAGCCTTAAGGACTCTTTTCACTCTCTCAAAAACGCTTGCTTGATCTGGTTCAAGGTTGTTTTCCCGTTTTTTGAACTCAATTGGTGGGTTATATGGTGGAGCCTTGAGTTTTGCACCATCTTTTCTTTCCTCAAGGACGCTTGAAGTTCGTTTATCAACTTCCTTTTCGAAGCTTCTCCCGACGATCAACGGTGGTTCATCATCTTTGACTAATTTCGTGCTTCTTGCTGGGAAAGCGTTTCCTTTACCGATACCACTGTGTCTCCTTTCCGGGTTGCCAGTAACAGGGAGCTTCACGAATGAGTCATGGAAATCGGTGCCTCTAAAATAAGAGGTTAGATGTGTATGGGGAGGGTTGGGAGTGGGGGACTCACGAGCGGACTTCAAGACCTGAGTTCTGAACAACACGGAGGGGGCTGGCATTTGCTGAGAGGATGGACGTTAGAAGGACGACTCTGGTTGAGGTGTTGAAGAGTCTCATGGTTTATAAGAATAGATGTGATATTGGAAGTAGAAAGATTCAATGAGTTCGTAGACCTGCTATAGATCAAAGACTACATGTATATTCGAAATATTGTGGTGGTTTGAATATGAAGCAGCATAACAGAAGGTTTTCCGGGCGATCTTGTGGATACAATGGGGGATATATATGTACTTCGTACTCGTATTTCGCGTGATGATCGGCGCTGTATTGTTTCTGCATGGTTGTGTGAAGGGTATTGTAAAACCGCACTGCTGGGATATTGGCGGTATGTGTGCCTTTACCAGAGGTCTTGGCGATTTCGACAACAAGGGCGTTTGAGTATGGCCAAGACATACCTATACCTCGATGCTGCATTTCAGTACAAGGTTACGTACTATGTAAATCTTATCGGGAGTGAGAGTCCGAAACTTAGGTACATAGGTAGTCTTGGAAGGTGTATATATATTAGAAATAAGCAGTTTGCAGTCATTATTGGGAACTGGGTAACGCAATCGATACAAATTGACACTCTACCTGATTACATCATCTTTCTGCGGGCACTCGTAAGTTACTCGGTGGAGCTCTCTATATTTTTTTTTCGGGTGTCGAGGAATGTAGGTACTCACGTAACTTCAATACAGTATGCAGATTCATTGTTCGGGCAAGATGGACTTCGAATAAACATTAGATGTTTTACAGCATTCATGTTTTTGCCATCTGACCGATTGAATACTGGAAATCATCTAATATTCACCTGACCTTATTTCTGTTTTGTCCTTGGCCGTGGATGAGGTGATAGATGATGCATGATGGGCTGAAATTCTAGTAACACACTAAGTAGCGAGGTCAGAAGGAAAATCCCTGATGTACAAATATTGAGGCTTGCGAAAGCGAGGCTTGCAATTCAGGTACCGGTACATTACGAAGGCGCAGGGCGTACTAACGTCGGAAGAACCGAACCTTTGCGAGCGTTTCCAATGTTACTTTGGAGTAGAGTTTCAATTCCTGAGTCCTGACGCCACGGGACATGCAGAAGCGAGCGAAGTCTCGAACTTGTCGCCTTGATAATCGGGCCGGAAGAATTGCAGTGGCAGTGGCTGTGGCGGCTCGAGTGGCTTTACCTGGCGAGCCTGGCCTGGTACTCTCTACGTAGGCAGATTAAACCACACATTTTGGTCCCGCCACAAACTCGATCAAGTCCATATATTACTCAACGACACATTTAGTGCAACATCTACCAAGCTCTATATTTACCAAGCAGATGCTAAAGAATACTTTGGGATTTAATTCACATTTTTCAGATTTATTTTGAGGGGTTAAGGAAAGGGTGATAGCAGGGTGCACGGGCGTAAAATGTGCGATTTAATCTGCCTACGTAGAGTTACTGGACTCGGGTAATCGTCGGTAAGTCGTATCCATCCGGCCATGGATCGTCACCTGCATCAACCCCACAGCACACTCCAGTTGAGGCCTTAGGCTAGTTAAATGTTAGCTCGACGAGCCACGTGCGAGCTTAGGTAGCTTAGCTACGCTACGCTATCCACTACCTATCAAATACCCCGCTATCTCGTGCCTACTTTACTGCACAGTGCATACCCGGCCATGAGGTGGTGAGTTTGACCTCACCGACCTCATTCACCTCCCTGACGCCAGCATTGATTTCGATAATACCTATATTTTAATTGAACCACGACTGCAGAAATCTCGCACCAACTGGAAGGTACACTAGTACATGTACTCGAGTACTCCCCTCACCATGGCGACCGTCGAACACTGCCTCTTCTGTTTCGAGGCCTTATCGGCCAATCTCGAGAAGCGAACCCCCATGACCCTCTCCCAAGTCCAATCATCATGGAATTCTTATCCCAACGGTCTCGAGGAAGAGGAGGCACTATCATCGGCACAGGATGGCGATGTTGAGGCCGTAGCCCGCCTGGCCCCCCGCAATCCAGCCTTACAACGTCTTGCGGAGAGTCGAAACAGCGCCATTTCAAGCGGAAGCTCCACTCCTGCTAGCAACAGTAGTGGCAGTAGCAGCAATACTTTCGCAAATGAAAGCGCAATCACCACGCCCGGAACATCCACAGACAGCTTCTCCCCGGTAGGACTGAACCCGCGAAAGACGAGACAACGAGGCAATGAAATTACCGAAAGTCCTCTGTTTGTAGGCACCCCTTCTCCCCTCATGTCAACTCCTTCGGCAGATATACACACACAAAAGACTAACCAGATTTAAACAGGTAACATGGAATACCATCTCCCCTCTAACCCCATCATCCCACCGTTCCCTCCGCGGCTGCATCGGAACCTTCTCCACCCTACCTCTCAGTACCGGTCTCTCCTCCTACTCCCTAACCTCCGCTCTCCAAGATCACCGCTTCCCACCCATCACCCTCCGTGAACTCCCTACCCTCGAAGTCTCCGTAACACTGCTCACGGACTTCGAGCCCTGCAATGACGCAATGGACTGGGAACTCGGCATCCACGGACTACGAATAACCTTCTATGCCAAGGGGAGGAATTACGGGGCTTGCTATCTGCCGGATGTGGCGGTAGAACAAGGCTGGGATAAGGAGGAGACGATAGTGAGTTTGATGCGGAAGGCTGGGTGGGGTGGACGGCGAGAGAAGTGGAGGGACGTTGCGGATTTGGAGTGTGAGAGGTTCCAGGGGAAGGCTGAGAGTGTGGGTTATGAGGATTATAAAGAGTGGAAGGAGTGGGCTGAGAAGTAGGGGAGGTAATGGATTATGGTGTTGAAGGTAGATGGAGTTATGAGATGGGATGTATGGATGGGCAGGCGTTTAGGGGCTCTGCCTTTTGATATAGAGGGCCATCTTAGGCCTGAACTAATTAGGGGTGCATATGTTGCGTTAGAGCTTTTGCCACTATTTCGAAGAGAACAAAAACCTCTGGAGATCTTTACTCGACTTTTCCTTTCATTCAGACTTATGGTATTCTTATAACCCCCTCATGCCCTGGATACGTCAAAGAGCACGATTTGCATAAAAATATCAAGTACCCAGCGAGCCACCTACGCCGCTATCGCCTAAATAGACTTAACCTCAACATTACTGTAGCAGGACCCAAAAAGATTAGTTCCAGATTCAGTCGAATCGGACAAACGTAAATAAGTAAGGGAATTTCTATTTTTGGACGTTCTACTCTCCCCCTCCTAGTCTCTAGAAAAGTATCTTATATAAAGGCGTTCATCTAAGGAAACTATTATCTTTCTAAAGACTTAGTTTATATAGTACTATACTTGTAATAATCTAAACGTTTTCCTCGACGGTACTTTACCAAGGTCTAAGAGTTGTATTCTTATAAGAGTAATTACTCTAGGGTTCTATAGGAGGACTGGATAAAGATCTGAAATACTAGGTGCTTGATTTTTCATAGGTATTTGTAGTTCTAGTATATTTTTATCTTAGCTATTCTAAAGTAATATTTATATTACTCTATATGTTTAGTCAATTAGTTATAGCTTACTCCCTATAAACTCTAAAAAAACTCCTTCCTACGTTAGTCTTTTCATTCTCCAGTTTTTCGCTATTACTTATCTATAAAGATGTTACTTCTTATAAATCTCCCACTTTCCAGACACCGTATCATGGTAGTTCATTGAACAGCTTCAGATCGCAAGTCAATCCATGATTTAGATACGAGCCGTTAATCAAGTCAACGTTATTGTATGTTATACTTAACCACAGAATATATGAAGCATGGTTGTTTATATAGCTCTCAGAGTTTAGAGATGTTCTATGTCATAGACTGACTATACTTTGTACTAGGTCACTGATTCCTAACACCTGTGAGCCTTGTCTTTTCTTTCCTCCTTTTTTAGTAAAACGAAGAAGTAAGGAGTTCAGACAAGACCAGGATGTATTACGCGGTATCGCCCCTTCTCTTAGAGACGTATTAATATAGTGATTGGTGAAGCCTTTGCTGCAGTTATTAGGTAAAACATATTGATTTTTCCTCTTCATAATACCCATGAGCAACACGCTACTCCGTATAGCTTCACACCATCTAACAAGTATGTAGAAATCAACGCCTTTCACATTCACATCACACCAGTCAAAGAAATCATATTCAACAGAATTACTGGTTGTGCCTTAAAACGCTCTACCCCATCACAAGACCACCATCATTACCACATAAAAGCAAAACATACAGTACCAGCAAAAAGCATCCACGACGTGCGTCAGCCATACAAGGGAACAGAACTGTAATCCATCCATCACCATCATAAAATTCCATACCAGAAAAATAAATATATGGCATATCCATAACACATCTCTCGTACTGTATCGTACTAAGGAACCTAGACTAGCTAGCCACACCGCAACACACCACAACCCGAGAGGGGAAAACTAAGGGAAGGAATAACAAAGGTATATATAAGTAAAGGAAATGACAGAGAAGAACCGCTGCTGATGTGGTATAGGTGATAACAAACACAAGAAAAAAAGAAAAAAGAAAACCCATGGTATCTCCCCTTCCATGATCCCACGATCCCCACGCATTAAACACTTCCAAAGCCCATATGCATACATCAGATAGGAAGCTCGAGCTGGCTATACTTTTCCCACATGTGGAGTTCCGTACAAGAAATCTTTGTGTTGGTCGCTCCCCTTTTTATGCTTCCATACCGCGATTTCGTTCCCGTTCCCCACTCCCTTCCCTTATACAATAATACTGATAGCCAACAAAATACAAAACACACGAAGGTAGAAGTTGAGAAAATCACCTCATCTAGAGGATATCCCCAAGAGCAGAATCAAGGCGACTCGTTAATGCCGCATACAGAAGACCTTTCCCCAAAAACGCTTGAACACTGCTCGTTTTCCCTTTTCAGACGCCGACGATTCCAAGGAGATTTCTTTCTCAGGACCCCCAGGTAAAGGACTTAAAGGAGCTGTTGCCGCTCTCCTTGTGCCCAGATTCTCGCCCTTGGAATCTTTCCCCAGAGTCAGCGTCATTTTTCTGGTCTTCCCCCCAGCATGTCCATCAAGACCAGTACCCAAAGGTACACCACCATTCGCCAGCCTCCTCGCCTCCACGACTCTCCTTACAATCAACTCGAATGTCTCCTCGATATTAACAGTATTCCTCGCGCTCGTTTCCATAAATCCGCATCCTCTTTTGCGCGCCCATTCCAGACCTTCGCGCGCAGGTACTTGTCGACTTTCTTGGAGATCGCATTTATTCCCCGCCACGATCTTGATCGGTTTCACGGGCACCATCGATTCCTTCTCCCCCCTTTTCCGCTTGCCCTTGCTCCCCCGCATGTTTTCCCAGGTATCAAGGCGCGTTTCGGCTTCGATGTCTATCAGTTCGTTGAATTCCTGTAGTACATCCAAGGAGGAGGGGTTGGTGATGTCGTAGACGAGGAGAAAGGCGTCGGAGCGCAGATTCGAGGATGCCCACATGCCTCTGTATTCTTCTTGCCCTGCCGTGTCCGTTATTGATAGGATGAAATTCTGGCCCTCGATACTGCGCGTGAGACTGTAGCTGTCTTCTATCGTTGGGTCGTAATCGGAGGTCTTTTTGTGGTTATAGTGTCAGTTGATTGCTTTTGTCTTAACCTGGTGTGCGGAAGTTCAAACATACCCATTGGGAGCGCACTAGACGGAGAGTTATGCTGGATTTTCCGCAGCCACCATCGCCGCAGATGGTTATACTTATTTTTTGAAGGTCGTCCATTCTGAAGTGGTAATTTTGGCGTGTAGAGTGATGGATCTGGGGGGCTCGAGGGGTTGGAGGGGTACTTGTAGAGAGAGTTCCGTCGCAGGTTGATTGGGTTTCGAAACGGGCTCTCTATATAACGCTCGTGAATGCTTTCCTCCTCCACTTCACTTCTCACTTCGAGAAAGCCGATGTATTGGGTCAGCGCCGTGCCTTATATGTTTTCCTTTCGTCCTGTCGTTCTTCTTCGAGTGGACGGTGGCGCAAGCCTTCACGGCGCCGAATTAACTTTCCGCGACGGTTCGGATGCTTCTCTTAGAGGATCCGTGCTAATGGATTTCTTGTGCGGCAGCTTGTCAGTGCATTAACGCAAATTCTTCGACGTTAAATTGTGGGAGTCGGTCTGAAAATATCCAGCACTTTCAATTGCCAATTCGCAGCCAAAGCGTTCTGTACTAAAAGGAGAAGAAGGAACGGAGTCTGCGAAATGAACTTCCCAGCGTGGTGGTGTTGTGGCTCCCCAAATCTTTCTGACAATCTCGAATGGTTCTTGGCTGGGCCCGACCACCAGACATCCAAGTGGAGCTGTCAAGGCGGAAAGATTCCTTAGGGTGAAAGGCAAATGCGATCGAATGCCGGCTGCCAGGCTATCACCCCCTGACCCCGGGGATGAGCATGGAAATCGACCAAAGAGGCAACTTTTGTCAAGGATCCAAGCATCCAAGAGTCGCTTTTTCTGCTGGGTTCGTGATGTGATGCGCAGGTAGTTATTGTGATTGGGTGGTGCGACGTGGAAGGGTGTTTGGTGGGGAGAGCTCGGTTGTCTGCTGTAGAAAAGGGGTTTCATACAGTAGAATGGGATCTCGGTTGCAGTGTTGGTGTGTTTCCTACTCGCCGAGTACAGTAGGCACTCATGCAATTGCAATGCGTATGCATGCGTGACGACATGAGAACTAGACCTACGAGTAGAGTGGCAATCAATGATGAAGCTTTCTTGAGCCAGATCGTATAGCAAAGGCCACGGGCAGATGTGACGGAATAGAGAATAGGTCATTCATGCCGCTTGCGGCCATGCCTAGATATCATGCAGAGGGGGAACAGTTAAAAAGAGTATACGAAGTAGAAGTATTTAGGGAACTCGAGTCTCTGCTTCGTTGAAAATCGGCGCTGGGCTGTCTTATGAGCTAGCAAAGTGTAACTCTTAGCTGTCCACCTTCGAATCTGGCGACTTAGAAGTAGCATTGCTGACCTAGGCCAGGCTTCAAGGAGCGAGATCGAGCCCAGAATAGATTAGAGCATTCTTGGGAGTGAGACTTTTTCATGTTTTTATATCTACCGCAGTTTGAGCAGTTCTCTTGTCGGAAGCGAAGCAAACGATCATGCCACTTCCATGCGTCTTGACTCTTGAGATTCAAGGTGAGATTTTCCGAGACATGATTCAGCCTTTTCCATGCCCTCGGTTTTCTCCTGCGGCTCCTTTTCGTACCGCCTTTCCGAGTTTTCATGATCTATATCAGACAATTTATTCTTCGAAAAACAAGATACTTCGACGAAGAGAACTTGCTGCTTTGTGGGCTGAACCGTGCGTTGAGATGCGTGCGTATGCTGCGTACGAAGCACGATCGTATACAAAGTTTCCCTGTTGGTTTTCAAATGCATCTTCCAAAGTCATATTGCGGCCCAATGTACCACAACCACGATACAAATGAGAAGGGGTGTTCCCATTACCTCGTCTACGTCTCCTGCATCATTAGCTATGGGGATGTCACTTCTGTGTCCAAGTCAACGATTCAATATACGCACATCTCTCCTATTGGTACATTGTAGGGGTATCTGCAGATAGGAGGGTGGGAAATGCAACCCTTTTGCTCGCCTTACCAAACTTCCTTTGCGATGGAGATTGCTGACGAGTACGCCTCGAATCATTGTTTGGTCGTTGGAATGGTTCGACATTATTAGAATGGTTGGTTGGGCGGAGCAGGACTTAGTCCTCGGACAATTTTTCTTTTTCTTTTCTGCAGGTGCACGGATGAGATGTTCGTGAATCTCACCGTTCCTCACCTTGCGGGGTATTTTGTCCCAGGCATAACAAATGTTAAAATTTACCTAGTGGATTTATCGAGGATCTTTTAGTGTTACAAGGTAGTTACCCCACTAAAATTTAACACTTTTTATGCCTGGCGCCTGGGAGGAAGTATAAATGTTACCGATAAAACGGTCTGTGGGTTTGAGATTTCTTCATTATTGTACTGTAGCATCTGAGGTGGGGTAATTTGTTTCGTTTGAAGAAAGGGGGGGGGAGGTCAAACGAATGGGGGAAGATAGGGGGCCTCTTCAGATTTGAAGAAATGATCTACGAAGTAGAAAGCTGCAGAACATTCTATGGGGCATTATTATATGGGATTAATTTAAACAGCCTGATAGATCCTACAACTTCACCTTTCAAAGTCTCTTCTTACCTACTTCTAGAAGCGGTTTGTCAGCTGGCTCCACAGCATCTAATCCCACCTAGTAATCTTCAACAGCGGCCGACTATGGCTCTCTACACGGACCCTTTGCTGGTGAACAGCTTTCTCCGGACGGAGGTAGAACTGTTCATCAGTCTTTTTATTCTCAAAGAGTCGCAGCGAAAATATCCTAGATGAAGGTTTTTGTCTTCATCTGAAAGTTTGTTATACCTCCGACCTCTTGCTGTCACAGAAGCTGTCCCTGTCAGGATTGATCTCCTGCTAAACAAGAGAATTGCTTTCGCTTTTGCCTTTGCCCTATAATCTAGTACGTTCAGAGCAGCCAATTAAAGTGAGATGGTTGAGGAAATTCCGTTTAGCGTTCAAGGAAAATCATTCATGAAGTCTGTAATACTGTACCAGGTAGTCTTCAATGGGGTCAGTTTCGTTAAGAAAATTTTGACGAGATGGCCAAAGTAGGTCCCAAAAGAAAATGTGTTAACAGTCTTCTTTAGGGGGGGGGATACCTAAACTAATTCCAAATTTCAAGGAGTTGTATATTAAGACCGCTTCAATGGTCTGTTCTACTATATCGTCTAAGCCTTACTTCCTTAAATTTTCTTAATATTAACGTAGTTATTCTATTATCTTTATATCTTTCTTTCACCTTTATTTCAGTACTTCTACATGGATTTAGGTGTAAACATAGAGAAGCCTTAGCACTTCTCATCTTATTTCTTATAGCCGCAGTAGTTAACGCGTTCTAATACCTACTATTTACAAAACCATCTAACTTTATTTAAATGTCTGGCAAAGCTTTCTTCGCTATCTAGCCTTCTTTATATATAAGCAGCCCAACTAGTACTTATTGTATGTCAAATCTGCCTTACAACAAAGTTTGCTAACTTCACTCTTCTGCGGTAGTCAACGTCTGAAGTTCTCGTGCAAACAGCTTCTACTACCTTTACCCTTAACGATACTAGAAATGCAGGCTCTTAAGCGGAACGGGTATGCGAACAATAATGAAATAGAACTATCAATATGAAAGTACTCGTAATATCAGTCTGTTTTGGGGCGCCTGTTAAGCTAGTAGGCACCAGATGTAGCACAAGGCAATCATGTTTAAAGGGATAGGCTCGTCATTTTATTCGAAGTTAGCGAAAACCTTAGCTTATAATAAAATGGAAGTTCAAACTCCTGGCTACTTCAACTACAACAACTACCGGCAACAGGAGCTTAGATAGAGTAGAGCCTTTTCAAGAACACATATAACTTTCAGGTGGCAACAGCAAAAAGAAAATTTGGTATTAAGATAGTTGACATCTATATTAAGGTCAGCAGGTATACACGCTTTCATGACCTACAATACCTAAACGTCGCGACGATACTGATTCTTCTCAAGATCCTTTACGTTGTTTAGTACCCACCTATTAGTGGTGCTTCTTCAGAAACTGGCGGCGTTTTTCTGCAAGCATGGATTCTCCTAGCCAACATTGGAAAACCAGAAAATAAAGAGCACTTGTACACACTCAGCGTGAGAAGAATCGAACGTCTGCCTCTTCTCTTCTCTTCTCTCCCCTCCATCCTGTGTCCTGTTTCCTCTCTCTGTCTCTTCTTCTGAACGTTCTCCATACGTGATGAGCGTTTCGTCTCTTAGACCTCTTGCTGTTGATAAATATTTTACTGTCGTAGTCTCATCTATATTCACGATCATTTCTTTGCTCGCCTATATCGCCTCTCTCACTTCTGGAATAAACTTATGTTCCCTAGCAAAGAAGTGTCACAGACTTGGTACCGATATTTGTTAGTAGGGAGTGCGAAAGTCCCGTCATCCTTAGAGTAGAGGTGGTTGTGGAAAGGAAAAAGATGTGTTAAATTGTCATCTATAACGAGTGGCGTGGAAGCTTTTATACATAAATAGGAGTCTGTTCTCTCTTATCGTCAAAGTATTATTCGTCGGGTTAGTAGAGACAATTAGTTCAGTTTTTAGGAGAGATGTCTGGTAAGCTCAGTTCCCATGAGGGCAACAATCCCCAGTGTAGGTGAATACTTTACAAATTCAATTTGTAGGATGAAGTTCTCTCTTAACTATGGGCGTTGATACAGAGATGCCTCTTTCATTCTCCCTGTCCAGCTTTGCAAATCAGTCCGTGGTGGAATTAAAAAGTGGGCATAAATAATGCTTACCTCCTTCAGACCTTGGCACGATGACGATAATCGATATTCTGTACCAAAAATTAGTTATTTGGGGTCGTTTAGGGGTCTTTTTTAGGGGTTTTCTAGAGAGAATTATCCTCGAGGTAGGTCACATGATCAAAACGTGACCTTCTTCCTATAATAAAAACTTAGGGCAATAACCTAGAACGTTAGTATAGACTATAGTCTTACGAGAAATACGGTACGAGCCCAAGTAGTAGCCAAATTTAGAGCATTTAGTACAAGCTTTATTAGTAGGTCTCAAATTCAAGTACTCTTATTGGCCCGGGAACGGATTTATAGTTTTTCCACGTCCGTGCGCCGATAATCGTTAAATTATCGATTATCGTCATTATATTCACGATATCGATATTTTATCGTGGACCTCCCGATATCGAAACGTTATTATCGTGCCCAGGTCTGACCTCCTTCAAGAAAAAGGACAAGGGGCATGAGGGGGGGAAGGGGGAGCTGTCAGCTAACATACAAAATTCTCATTCAAGCTTTATGTTTTTTCAAGCCCTCTATTTCATGGTTTAAGTGATTTAGCCAGAAATTCAAATATAGGTGGAAAGTGGAAGTCAAAAGAATAATCCATATTTCTAGTGCACAGAACCAATGAACCATAGTCTAACAGCAGACTAAACAGCGAAGAAGTGACGAGCTTGGATACCGTCTTTCTGTCCAATAAAACCTTTCGACCCCTTGAATATCACGTCGCAGAATGTCCTCCGAACTCCACAGTAATTCACTAAGGGCAGAGCTATCACTGTTTCTAGTGCTTTCTGAGTATCTCCTGTCCGTAATTAAATGTGAGGTTATTGAACAACAGTCTATCTCGTATTTATGGGAATGGCTCTCGACATCAAGCTGAAGAGTAACTCCTTTGAATGCTTTCTCTCTTCTAAACTTACTCGTACAGCATTCTTTTTCTCCAACCAACCAGATACCTTGGACAAAGTACTGGAGATAGCATTTGAATGTTTTGTCTTCATCCGAATGTTTTCTATTCGTTTTAAAAACCACCTCCTTTAAATCTCTTGCTGTCAATCAGAACGTTACTGTTGAGTTCAGATTCTCTGTTTACGTCCATGTTAATCCACATATTTAGACTTAGTTGCCGCTATCTTAGAGAGAGGGAAATGAACTACGTTCTTGTAAAGGATGTTTTACTCACCAGCGAAGGCGAAACAGTCATTGATTCTGCAATAGGTAGAGCAGAGCTTTGATGAACCTGCGTGCGGTGAAATTGATGCTGTAGCCTCGCTAGAGTTAATTGAGTATAAGAAACTGCTTCATTTTTTAGTAGCAAATAAGACAAGCTGGCCACCATATAGCCCACACAGCTAGTGAGTCATTCCAGGCATTCCCAAGAACGATATGACGGTGATTCTTCGATTGAAAATACTAGTGCTATTTTAAGACGCACTTTAAATATTGCGTATTTCGTAACGCTAGAAGTGTGCTATGGTAACCCTGGATTTCCTGGTTTGACCAATTAGACTATTGAAACCGCCGCACCATAGATTTGGGATACCATTATAGGCGTCACAAATATGATAATCCATTCCATAGTAAGCTTTTGTTGTGGCTTGTTACGGTGTGGAACGAGTAACGTGGTAGGTGTAGAATAAGGAATGGAAAATGGCAAGTAAAACACTACAACATCATACAAATCTATATAAGGGTCTGTGTTCCCTACCTTTTATTTCTTCCCCACCACCACTGTCCTTACCGTCACTTTACTATGGACGCTGCCAACCCAGCCACGTTGCTATAAATTTGATGCCGGACGTAAACCAAAGGCGAAATAGTCGTATTTAGGAATAGCTTCATTTTTTGCTTGTTTGGGTATAAAGGACTTACGAGGCGTTGTGCTTTAATTACAAATTATATTGGTTTGCTTTATTTACTTTCCTAGGCGAAGGGTGTGCTTTAATTAAAGAGTAACTTGATTTATTAATATAAGTGTTGAATAATTCGCATCCTAGAAGTGATCAAATAATACCATTTATTCACCATGCGTACTAATTGACGAATCACTGGTAGTGTTGATCAATTAGTCGATTTAAGGGTTACAATAGCACAGAAGGAGTAAGCTTAGCCAAATCCCAATGAGACAGTCTGACTTCTTACAAACAATACACTTCATAATGACGTTGTGGCAGCCACATCTTTAAACTACTATCAAAAAGAGGTTTGTGGTACTAATAGGGACCCGTTAATTGTTAAAGAATCGCATGCAGAATGTATCAGCTGAAAGTCTCTTTCTACTAGGAAGTATTATCTCCTTTGGACTATTTGCTATTAACCTAGATGTCACTGTCATTTTTGCTATCATCGTTTAGTTTGATAGTAGTGCTTTGACCTTGGCGGATCTATTAGAGGGACAAGCACGTTATCTTTTGTATCCATTTTTCTAGTGCTAGTGGTCAGAAGGCTCAGGAAGAAGTTAGTCTTGTCTCAGAAAGTTCAACTCTTCCAAAACTTTTCTCGTGCCTCTCTTGCCTAGAGCTAATAAGAAAATGTATTCATATATCTTGTAAGTAGGAAATTTAAGAAGAGGGTCAGCTATTTTGTCGTAAGTGGATTTCCACCTTATACTTCCACTCAGAGGTGTAGCCATCATGACCTAAGTGATTAGACAAACATGCGTTAAAAGCCGAGGGAAACTGATTCACCTTTGAAAAACAGATTCATCCACTTCTTCTTTAGCTCAGCTTCTAGTTGTCATTTCAGCGTCCTAAGAAGCTGAAAAAGGGTACTTCCTCACTCTTATCTAGTAATGTTCACAATTCCAATTAGTAGGATCTGGATACCTTAAGCATATTTCTTGATTATTTTAAGGAACTAAAAGATATTCCTTTACGTATACACTAGATAATAACCAGACTTCAATGCTGCCTGCCTACTTGCGCATACATATCATGTATCTCTAACAAGACTTTGAAGTCATCTACTACTAGTTGTTTTAAGATAGGAACCATACTTTTTCCTGTGTACTTATAAGAATACTTATATGGGGTTGGCACTAGAAATACTTTAGAATTGTAGGTTCAGTCGCAAGGAAGAGTAAAAGTAAAGAGAGACAAGTGCTTATTTATCGAGACCAATGTACGTACTTTATTCCATTATACAAGACTCTGTCGTCTGTCGCATACAAAGATATCCTTTCTAGAATATCTTGCCGTGAACTAACCATAGAATCTACTAAGGTTGAACAAAGTCTGCTGCTTAACCAGCGAACAACAAACAATTCACCTCTAACACCACCACCACCACCACCCACAAAACTCTCCCCTCCAACCCCCTCCATCCCCACTCCCTCCCCTTATCAAAAAAACCGATTCCCTCCACACACCAAAAAACCCAAACCAGAAAAAAAATAAAAAATTTGAGGACGACCCGATTCGAACGGGCGACCATCTGGAAACCCAAAGTGTTCACTTTAATACTGGAATCAGATACGCTACCACTGCGCCACGCCCTCTGTGCTTGTTTTTATTTGATATGTTGAAGTAGGTCTTATTTGTGCCTATGTTTGTTTGTTTGTTTGCTGGAGGAAGGAGAGATGGTGGAGGGTGAATTGTGGGTCTTGTCGGCTGGTCGCTTTTTGGGGGAGAATTTCGGATGTTGATTTTGATAGTCGCTTGCTACTCAGGTAGGCAGTTATGTGATGTAGTGATTTTGAATGGGAAGAATGAGAGGGGTTATTTGTATTTTTAGTTTGTTTTTGTACACAAGGGTGTTTTTGGATTGACTTGCTAATGTAGTAATGAAGGTCACTGAAGGCGTTCCTGATACAGCAAGATCAATGTGAGAACAAACTAAGAGTTAGATTTTGAAAAGCTATTTAAACTGTCTATTATAATTAGCTTATCTTGTAGATGCTATCTGCCTGAGTATACGACTAATCTAAACAACAAAAAGAAAACTCTAATTCAGCTCCCTATTCTATATCCACTAAATTCTATCTTCTAGAAATAACAATTCACCAAGCGCTTTTCCTCGTTATACACTCAACCCCGTTCATGGATTGCTAACATAACTTTTTGCCCTCTCCAAATCCGCCTCTGTAGCTCTCTCCCTTGCACTGGTCTTCAAAGTCTCCTCATCATCCCCACTATACGCAAACTTACTATGTCTTCTTATCCTTTCCCCATAAAAGTAGAACAAAAACGGAATCGCACAACAGGCCAAAGAAATGAAAGCCAAAATACTAGAAGCCCACTGATATCCGACTTTCGCATACATCTGCGCCGTGAAAAGCACCACCGCCGCACCCCAGAAACTTCTCAGAAAGGTTTTGGCAGCTAGCGCGGAAGCAGCTTGATGCTGATACGAACCAACGAGGTAGTTGTTGGCGGAGTTGTAGAGGAATATGAATCCGAATCCCACGGGGAAACCGCCGATGGCTGGGCCCGCCCAGGAGAGATGTGGATAGGAGGTCCAAGCGAAGATGAAGAGACCGATGGGAATGAACCAACAGGAGACCATCATTGGAATGAGTCGGACTTCGGGGGGTGGGGAGCCGTTATGTTTTGCGCTGAGCTTTAGATAGTGCTTGTTGACGAATGGAGCGCAGCATGCTGAGGCAATGACGCCGAGTGCGAGGGGGATGAACATCAATCCTGTGATACCTGCTGAATATCCCTTTCCTTGTTGATAAACGATTGGGAACGCTACGAAGAACATGTATAATAAGCCGTACAGAACGGACATGTATACGGAAACGAGGAAGACGATCAATTCGCCAAAGAGGAGCTGGAAAGGTCTGATGAGGAAGACACCGAGGCGTTCTCTGAAAGGTCGTATGTCGATATCTTGTTCTGTGACATACTCCTTTTCACCTGTGGATTCTCGGAGCTTCTTTGCGCGTCGAGCAAGAATGGTTGGGGCGTAGGTTTCTGGGACTGTGAAAGCCATCAAGATGTAAACGAAGGCGGCGAGAATGAGTTGAATCCAGTACAACCATCTCCATCTCAGGGCATCGGAGAGAAATCCACCAACTAGCGGACCAATTGCGGGCCCGATGAAGGGTGCTGCTGAAAAAGCTGCCATAGGAACTCCTCGTTCTTCTGTACGCCACATATCGGCGAGCGTTCCACCAACAAGCGTCATTGGAGCTGAAAAGGCTATTCCGTCAATGGCTCTACATACTAGGAGAGTCTGGATGTTTGGTGCCAAAGCACAGGGAATGATGAATACAACGGCGACAAGTAGAGTGGATGCGTAGATGATTCGTCTGCCGAGAACTTCGCTGAGGGGAGCAAAAACCATTGGCCCTGGGATTTCATTAACTTTGAATTCTAAACGAACACAAGTTCATCATAAGTTCACATACCTATTCCAAATCCCACAACGAATATCGAAATACTAACAAGGGCCACCTCCTCGGATCGATTAAACTCCTCCTCCATACCGACAATATCTGCTGTGATAACCGAAGAGCAGAATGCAACCGCGAAACAAGTCAATGCCACAACCATGGTGCAATACCATTTAAAAGCTTTTGACCAATTTTTGGGGTTTTCTGGATCATTTGGTTTGAATGTGGCGAGCTTCCAATTTGTCTTTCCGTCTGGTTCTAGGCCACCGTCAATCTCACCGGACGGTGTCTCGACTTGGTATTCCTTCAAGTTGGCACCGTCGTCGAGAGTTCTGTATAGGAGATTGACGTCGAGTTCTGGATCGCGTATCTCTTTATATGAAACATGTGTTGTTGTTTGGCAGATTCTGGAGTCGTGGGTATTCGTTCGAGTTGCTGGTATGGGGGATGCAATAGATGCATATTCCCGTGGCGGTTGAGCAGTTTCCGTCATGCTATTTGATTCTGGAGGAGTTTTTGTATGATAGAGATTTTAGTGTGGAACAAAGTGAGCTAAATATGAGTACAGTACCGAAAGCGAGGGGAGAGACTAAGGTATGAGTGACAAGTGAAAGAAGGCACGGATGAAAGAACGGGGAGACCTCTATAAATACAATTTGAGAATAATCCAATACATGTGGAAACAAGTACTAGATTGACCCAGCGGCTCTAATTAAGCAGATGACATGGACAGTATCCTACCACATCTCTTCATAAAACCCACCAAAACCACCTGTCCATCCATACAGAAGCTATTCTGAAGACTTGGCAGGGCGGTGATAATTCGGACACTTAAGCGAGCCAACGTATGATCTCCTTTTCAACGCCATTAACGGAGCGGCGGCAGGTATATACACATAAGGCTGAGGAACGGGCTCCGGTAATAAAATAGATTTTTTTCATTGCGCGAATTGTGGAAATCCATGACTCGGTCAAGGAAAAAAATTGTCAAATACCGAGTTATGGCCTCAAAATCATCATTATCATGCTGAGCATAGGGAAAGTTTCGTGGAGAAGGTTCCACTGGGCCCATGTAGCGGAGTCCGTGTGGGATTGTAAAAAAGACAATGTACTTTTACCCGAGGTAAGGGTCGCTTATACAACAAAAGCATGCGATACCGGTGGATTTGGTGCTTGTATTGTGATGGTGTTGAGTGCGGAATCTTGTGGGTCTCGGATGCTGGTCCCTCAGGATTGGACACCCGGTACCGGCAAGCAGCAATTGAATTTGGGACATCAAAACTTTCCTCTTTGTAACAAAATTTTCTCTTGATATGATACTGAAACTATCCAGCATGTACCAAAAGGAGCCATACGCCCCTCAAGTGTCTACTAAAGGGGGAAGTATGCACCATACTCGAATACTGGCTTACCAAACAACCTCCTTATCAGATTGTGTGACGTCACTGGATACGAGACCAAGGAAGAGACGTGAATAGATACGAAAGATTAGAACAGTATTCAGAGAGGTAGGGATCGTTTTCTTTCCTTTTTCGAACTCGAGATTACCAGATTACCTTATCCGACAACCCCCAAACTAGCTTCACGAATCGAGCAACAATTCTCAACCAAACTTCTCGCAAGTACCCCACTATGGCAACTACAACTGTCAACGCAACTTGCGCTTGCAAAGCCTTCACATATGCAATCGAGTTCCCCAATTCGAGTCTCCCCAAAAGTCGAGCTTTATGTCTATGTACAATGTGCCGGCAAGAAACTGGTTCTTGCGGTATCTCATACATTAGGTTACCCTCAGATCATACTCTCGACCCCGCAGAGTATAACCTCATCAGTTTCACCCCAAAGCCGAGCTTTACTAGATACTTCTGTTCGACTTGTGGCTCCCACGTTTTGTTTTCATATAATGGACATGACGGCAATAGCTGGCATATGTCTACCGGGATATGGGACAAAACAGAAGGAATAGTCAATTGGACAGGCACCAAGTGGATTGAGGGAACATTGGATGGCGGGATATCCGTATGGCTGAAGGATATTGAAGATCAAAACGGTACAAAAAGAGCTTTGCCAAGATGTTTATTCAACGATGGGGATGGGAAAGAACTGATTGCGGAAGGTGCTCTCCAAACACTTCCTCCACGAGAACGAACCAAAGAACAGGATGAAAAGTTACAAGCACGATGCTACTGCGGTGGTGTGAAATTCTACATCACACGACCAAACGATAACTCAAAGAAGGCAGAATCCCCATACTCAGATTTGATAGTACCATTTCACTCGGGCTCCAATGCGAACCCAGAGAAGGACCCGTGGTTCTTGCGCAGCAATGATACAAAATATCTCGCCGGGTTATGTACTTGTACATCTTGTCGTGAAAATTCCGGCTTCGAGATACAGCCTTGGGCGTTTGTGCCAAAGTGCAATATTTTCAAGGAAGATGGGACCCCTCTAGACTTTGATTTTGGAACCTTGAAGCGGTATGGAAGCTCTGAAGGAGTCATGAGGGAGTTTTGTAAGGTGTGTGGCGCCACGGTATTTTGGCATTGCGATTGGAGACCGAGTGTGATTGATGTGAGCCCTGGATTGTTGGATCCAGAGGAAGGTGCAAGGGTGGAAAGCTGGTTGGATTGGTGGACTGATCGGGTTAGTTTTTCTGAAATGGCTGTGAGTAAAAACCTTGTCAAGTCTTTGGAAGAGGGTATGAAAGGATAGAAACAGTGATACATAACAGATTTTGAGCTACTTCCCTTATTCTCTCAACCCTGATAGTCAAATTCCAGTCACTATTGGGTCAGTATTACAACAAGCCTTCGGCATTTTTTCTTTTACACGGCCGTGACTGTAAACAACCAAAATACTTTGTTCACGAAAAGTATAATTTAGAAACTGTATGAGCTTCTCCTCTATTTCTACATGAATATTGGAAGAAAAGACTGGTAATCGAAACATCTCGTTGCTCTACCAAACTAATAAGTCTTTATCCAAGTTTTTCTCTATATTCAAAGTAGTCCGAGTATTACAATAATGAAACTACGAACCCAACGTATAATTACACAATCACCACTTCCTTCTTTATATTTCACCCACCAACAGCAATAGGGCACTTAACTAAAGTTTATACAATGTGTTACTCTCCACAGCAGATATTGTTCTCATGATCATCCAATGATAACATCTACAGCGTAATACGCTGCTGTCACGCACCTTGCACCCAGGCACAATAACCTTGGCATAATCGGCCGCTCCAGGCCACGACGTTCTGATTTCATCCTCCCAACTCCATCAAAAAGCCAAAACAGACTACAGTCTTCTCTCCGTAAATCAATAACAGAAAACAGAGAATGTCTCTATCTCTAAAACTCAAGCCCCCACCACCATACCTCCCATCAGCCATCCAAAATGGTTCAGACACCCTCCACCCCTCACCAATCCCCCCCAATTCCGACCCAAGAGCCTTCTACCTCCAAAACCCCTCTCTCGTCCCTCCCCGTCTAATCTCTCACTCCCCTTTCATCCCAAAACCTTTAGTCGCCCACTTAATACGCAAGAAAAAGAACAGCGCATTAGCAGTAAAATTCGAGGCTCACAAACGAAGAGAGAACTGGGATCGGATAACTAACATGGAGGGTGCATTCCATACCTTTCTCACGCCTGTTGTTTCTAATTGTGAGATGGTTGGGGATCATTTTTATAAGGGACGTCATGAGATTGTGCGGTTTGGGAGGAATAGTCAGGGAAAAGTGCTGGTTAGAGAGGTGGTTTTGAGTGCGGCTGTGCATATGGATTTTGAGTATGTGGATGTGATGATGAGGGTTTGTAGGTTGGGGAGGGAGGAGGTGAGAGGAGTGGAAGTTGGGGGTGCGTGGGGTGTTTTGGGGATGGAGGAGAAGCAGGATGNGTTTGTAGGTTGGGGAGGGAGGAGGTGAGAGGAGTGGAAGTTGGGGGTGGGTGGGGTGTTTTGGGGATGGAGGAGAAGCAGGATGAGGGGAGGAGGTGGGTATATGATGAGGGGTTGAGGAGACATCTTGTTTATCATCTTTTGAAGGATAGGAGGCTACCAGCGAGGAGGGAAGTTAAACCGATGAGCATGGATGAAATTATCTCGTTTTTGGAATACCTCATCTCCTCAGAAAAACATGCACCGGAGCTCATCAAGGATGTCAGAGGAAAGTTTACAGAGACATACGATCAAGTCGTTTCTCTAGAGTTATTACTCAATACCGCCATCCAACAAGCCCTCAACGAGTTCTCAGCACTGGAAGCGTTATGTGGGAGAGGATATGTATATACCTACAACCCAGCCGCCATCTTCACCAAAGAAATCGGTGCACCTCTCTTAAACCGTCTCATGGTCCTCGCTCTTAAGACTCTCTCTGATCAAAACATCTTCACAAATATGCGGATCTTTGCTTTTAGCGATTTCGCAGATCCGGAGATCATCCCACTCGTCAAGATGGCTTTGAGAAGGCAAACTCATGTCCGGGTTCTCAGGAAAGATGATTTATTCAGAGGACCGGGAGGGGTGTATGAGGTTGGGAAGTTTCCAGAGGCCCGTGGAGCACGCCTGGTTATTCATAACAACAGTGATGGATTTGGACAGAATATTGAGACGGAGGGGATGTTTGAAAGTTTGGATGGGGCGATTGGATGTAGCGGAAGTGGTGCTGCGAGTTTGAGAAGAGATAGAGATGATTTGTTGGATTCTGTTTTTTGAGGTGTTCTTATGAGCCTTTGAAGTGGAATTTGAGCGCAGTCCAAGCGGCAGAGTATTGCAACCCAAAACTAGAATGTGGATTGTATCATTGCTTTTCTCTTTGGTCTCCACATTCGCTTATTTCCATCCGCAGGTTTAAAATGGAACAGATTTCACAGAGTGATGTCCCGGATATCCTCTTATCACGGAATTGCAGAAGCTGCAGTCTACGAGCAAAATTTGAAATTGTCAAAGCACTAATATATATAGCACCGTATATCCAGCTTACCTCTTCACAACATTTCTCCGAGAAATATTCAAAGAGATGCGAAATACACATGTTAAGATAAGTGGGAAAATCGGGTCTGGGTATGGAAATGCATAGCTGTGTAACAGTGGAAAGACTTTTACTCTTTAGATCTACTTGTTTCACGTAAGCTTCAAGAATATATGAGAATATTCTAGAGGGTTCAAATAGCTACAGTACTTGAGGAGACTTTTTGATGCTTTGCAAGGGTTAGGATATTATATTTAGAACTCCCTGGATATTAACAAGTAAAATGGCTCCAGAAGATAATCACGAATGCCCACATACAATGGTGGTTCGTCATACAGACTCAATTATATATGTAAAAGTTGCTAGCTCTCATATTGCTCCATTTTGTACATAACACGCAGCACCAGCCATGTCCCATATCCCATTCCCCAATAAAACCCCAACCATAGCCACCCCACCAAAACGCCAACACACTAATCCGTTCCAGCCCAAACGATCTTACAAAGCCTTAATACTTTGAAAGAAAGGATTAGCCAACAACTTCTCATTCCCCTTGACCAACTCCTTCATCAAACCGACTTTCTGCTCTTTGCTCAACTCCTTGCCCTCGCACTCTTGATTCCACTTGACAAGTACATCCTTCAACAAAGCACTGCCCTGCTCAACATCCTCCTTCTCATACTTGACGGCCTGCCCTTCATGTTTACTAGTGAAATCTTCCAGCTCATCTGCCTTCCTCTTCGCCATGTTAACTACCTTCTCAGGGAACCTCACGAGTTCCGCAACATGGATACCGAAACTCTGATCACAAATTCCATCTTCAACTTTATACAGTAAAGTAACCTCTCGCTTCGCTTTGCCGTTATCGTCAATATGAGCTACGACGTGCAAATTCTTTACTTGAGGGTATTGGTCTACCAACGCGGTGAGTTCGTGGAAATGAGTTGCGAACATGGATTGGCAGCCAATTTCCTTGATAATATGTTCTGAAATTGCCCATGCGAGGCCGAAACCATCGTATGTGCTAGTTCCACGACCCAGCTCGTCGATGATGATGAGAGATTCTGAGGTTGCGGATTTGAGAATGTTGGCAGTTTCGAGCATTTCGGCCATGAATGTGGAGACACCTTTGAGTTGGGAGTCGCTGGCCCCGACTCGGGCGAGTATACAGTCGTAGATTGTAAGTTCAGCTTCGGAACATGGTACAAAGCAGCCGATTTGTGCCATGAGAGCAATTACTCCTATTTGTCGGATGTAAGTGCTCTTACCTCCCATGTTCGGTCCTAGACATATGTTAGCTATTGGCATACTCGATTGATTCAATGGCACTGAACATACCTGTAATAATCAAGAACTCAGAGGAGCCTCTTTCGAGAGTAACATCATTGGTGATGAATTGAATATCGTCTTGCATCTCCATACAAGGATGTCTGGCCTCCTTCAAAATCGTGTTTCCTTTGCCTCGAGGATGAATCTTTGGCCTCACATATGATGTAGGAGCATGAACAGAGCAATGTGCAAAGCTCACAATAACATCCATGTGAGCAAGGACACCAGCCAATTGTTCAATCACCGGGCAATAAGAAGCAGCGACGCCGACGACTTCGTTGACCAGGCTACTCTGCGTACGGTTGTAGTTTTCCGACAATTGATCAAATTCTCTTCGGTAGCTCTGAAGCTTGCTTGTCGTGAAGAATACGCCATTTTTCTGCGTTGATACTTCTGAGTATTTGCCCTTGTTTCGGATACACCCAGCTTCTGTTCTCGTGAGACGGAAGCACCAGCCGTGTGTTTTATGGTTTTCGAGGAAAAGCTTCTTCTCTACTTCCTGATCCAGATCTTTTCCTACACTTCTGTGTTCTTGGTCCATGTCATGCTTCAACTGGTCAAGCTTCTTTCGGATGGTTCGTAAGCTGTCATCAAATTCAGGTTTGATGATATATTCGTGGTTATCCATAGCAGCAAGATCCACTGTTGTCTCAACCATTTCTACCAACTTTGCGAGACTGTCCGAGTGTTCCCTGATTTTGATGGTATACGCCTCATCCAATGGTTCTTGGTATTGCTCATCAATCACTCCCTCAAGCGTACCAATAAAACCCGGCAGTCTGATGACAACCTGATACGCTTTTACAACATCCTCCAAGTTTGCCATTTTCTTCTGAAACCGCTTGGCCAGTCTATACAAATCGGGTATTGATCGTAGATGCTCCTCCTGCATGGTTTGTCTCAACTCAGTATCCTCCACAAAAGCTTCCACCAGTTGTTGTCTCTTTTCAATTTCTTTCTTGCTCATTAAAGGCTGCTTCAACCACTGCGACATCAATCGACTACCAATGGGCGTCTTGCAGTGATTGAGAAGCCCATAAAGCGACATATTCTTGGCTCCATCTCGTGGTCCAGGCATGAGATTTAGCGCTTTGAGAGCCGATGCATCTAGCTTCATGAACTGCGAAAGGTCGTGTTGATAAAGTTGGTACTGTCCGAAATTTGTGTTATCGTGCAAAACGCCCAGATATTTAATCAGAGCCGCAGCCGAACCCATTGCTAGCTTCAAATATGTCTGAGGCAGAGTTCCCGCAGCTTTATCGTCCTTCAAAAGTCTTGCCAAATCCTGATCGATATCCCTGATGCCAAAGTCGGTTGAAGCTCGTTCTGAGATGGCGATACCACAGGAATCGATGATTGTCTTTAGTTTGGCCAATTCCACATCTTTATCCGTCTTATCGACTTGTATCAAACATTCCTTGACACCCAATTGAATAAGGAGGGATTCAAAATTCGAGTATAGATCGTTGTCCAGGAATTCCGAAACCCCCAGTTCCCGAACGCTCGCATCTGCAAAGCAAACCCCAACATTTCTGGCCTCCGAAGCCTTCGCACTAACCTTCACGGCGAGTATAATTGGGGCGCCATCAAATTGGCCTCCCAATTCCTCCTCGATATCTTGTAAATTTCCGGGCGAAGCCTGTTTTGTAACCTTCCAGTTCATGCGTCCGCTACTCTCCCAAACCTCGATTCGTTTGCCTAATCGAAATAGGGCTTCTCGTAGGAAGTTTCGGAAGACTGTAATGGACATGGTAACCGATGGTAGGCCAGAGGAGTCATTTCTGCCGAGTTGTCGTAGAACGGAAGTAGTTTTGTATACCTGCTTTCAGTTAGATACGAATTGGTAAAAGTAATTTCGATACCCACGGTTTTGGCAATGAAAGATGCGTCTTCGTCATGGGCCGTATACCAATCTCCCCGGTCAAACACTCTTATGGTATCATTGTCTTTTGGAGATAGGGATTTGAAGAACTTGATGAATCCGCCTTCATCGTCAACCTGTAGAGTGTTAGTGTTAGGGTGGCGTTGAAGAAATCAGATCTTGGAAAAATTACCTTCAATTCCGGTCGCGAGGACATTTTTACAGAATATGGAATCGTGCAAAGTATTCCTACGAGGCAGGTCAATGTGTAGGACCTTCAAATGGAGTCCTCTAAAAAACCACTTTAGCCTCGCGCTCAGGTTCTAGCTGGGATACGCGCACCCGACGCGACGTGATGCATGATAGTCACGTGGGCGTAAAGTCCCGGCTGGCCGGGGGCATCATGTCGGCCCCGTCACCGGCATCGGATCCACGAAGGCCGATGGCCCACCATTGCATGTTGAAATCCTTCCAAAAGTTCGACGTCACGAGGTTTGGAATTGATATTCACAAAATCTCCACAACTTTCCGACTGTCGCGCAAAATGGAGGACATCGATGAGCGCCCATCCAAAATCCGGAAACTCAGTTCAGCTGAAGACATTACTGACCCAATATCAATTACGGAATCGTCTACAGCCAATTCGCACCCACAAATAACTGCAGTCCCCGAAGAGTCATCACCCCACCAAGACGACGCATCTGAGGAGCATGAGGACGAAGCTGAACACAACGATGGATCCGCCACCGTCCAAAATGGGGACCAATCACAATTATCCAAAAGCCAACGTAAGAAAATAGCCAAAAAAGAAAAATGGGAAGCCGCCAAAGAATACCGCAAAGTCAAGCGTCGAGAAAAACATAAAGAGAAGCAAGTCAAGAAGCAACAAGCAAAGGCCGAACTGAAAGCCAAAATTGAAAGTGGAGAGATTGAAGCTCTGCAACCAGCTCAAGTACAGCAGAAGGGAAACCCTATCCAACTCCCAATTACAATCATTTTGGATTGCGATTTCAATGATCTTATGACGGAGGGTGAAATCATTTCTATGGGTGCTCAGATCACGAGATGCCATTCAGATAATAGGAAGGCCTTGTTCAAGTCCCATCTTGTTATTAGCTCTTTCGGTGGGGCTTTGCAGACTAGGTTTGAAACCGTGCTTGCGAATACTCATCTGAGCTGGAAGGGTGTTAGGTTCTTGGAAAAGAACTTTGTCGAAGCTGCCAGTGAATTAGATGGCGTGATGAGAGGACCTGGCGGTGGAGAGCTAGCTGGAGCCCTGCTGCCAAAGGATGATGAAAACGTTGAATCGGATCTCCCAGCCAAAGTCGCAGATAAAGTCGAAGAGCAAGATCAGCCTTCAATTGTTTACTTGAGTTCAGATTCGCCTCACACCTTGGATCGCCTGTCACCAAATACCAGCTACATAATCGGTGGGATCGTGGACAAGAATCGACATAAAGGACTTTGTTACAAAAAAGCCACAGAACGGGGAATTCCAACAGCAAGGTTGCCGATTGGAGAGTTCATGACTATGCAGAGTCGGACTGTACTGACTGTCAACCATGTTGTGGAAATCATGCTAAAATGGATGGAAACTGGTGATTGGGGACAAGCTTTCTTAACTGTCATTCCCAAGCGGAAGGAGGCTAAGCTTAAGAATAAGAACGCCAAACTGGGCGAGAAACAGGGCAAAGAAGATGGCGAGGGAAGTAAAGACAAGGGTAGCGAAGACGATGATGGATATGAGGGAAATGTGGACATGATTGAGGAAGGCGAAAATATTGGGCAGACGGTATCGAAACATGACAGTAACCTACCTGCCGATCCATAATCACACTTTGAAATATACATCAAATTGTCATGATCATGGAAGTTATCAACTTCAACTTAGTAAAAGATCAACAAATAAGTCCCAAGAGGATTTCCTTCTAGGGACCAACTTCTTGAAAGCCTGGGGTTATAGTATAATGTTCTTAGTAGCCACAGTTGTTCTCGTAGACCCAACACTTAACTGTTCAAAATGAGTAAAAAGCAAACTTCAATAATGTTCAAAACCATTAATGAGTAAGTGTTTTGGTTTTGCGAGAGCTTTTCCAAAGTATGATATTATCATCGTAAGGTTGGTGTGTACAGAGTAATGACCATGTCTCACACAAAACCTCGAAGGCAACATTGACAAGCATGAAACCATGATTGAGAAAGAGAGGGGGATGAGGGGTAGCGGAGCGTGTCAATATAAGTTCAAATTCTTCGACCTTGCTGTGTTCTTCGCCATGGTATCTCAAAACCTTCCTATAAACATGCGACCAGAACGCCATATCCTAAACATTGGAAACTCATCCATGGAACCTCCCGACCGCTACTCCGAAAAGAGATGATATGTACGACCAATTTCAACATCCTCACTATTTCCCATGCATCCCATTGACGTACTCCTCAGCCTTCCTTGCTCTCTCACTCCTCGCCACCATCTCTGGCATAGTCTTCATCGTCCTCTGCAATCCCTTTATGCCCATCTCCCAACCTGCCTCCACACCTTCCTGTCTTTCCAACCGTCCAACCCCCAAAACATTACCCTCCTTCTCCTCCTTCATCCTCTCCCCAACTGCCCTCAGAGCCTCGTCATCTGCCTCACTTTCCTCCTTAAATCTCTTTTTATTTTTTTCCACCACCACACCCGGAACCTTCCTCCGCAATGCAGCAATTTCCTCAATAAGATCCTCCTCCTGCCTCGCATTATCCTTCGCCTTCGAGAAGAGCCTATGACTAAACGGCTCATGTTCCTCAATCACTCCCGAGCTCGAAGACACGGTATTCGAAAGAACCTGCTGGATAAGCATCGGCGACGGAGGTAGACCATTAATCGTAATATTTGGAGATATGACTTGGAAGACTTGGTTGATATACTATCCCGCCCAACATTAGCTGGCGCATTCGCAATACATTCCTATCGCGAGAAGTGAGGGGGGACAAACGGCATGCACATCCTCCTCCACCCTCTTCCTTATGGCATCCTCGCCTTCGCCTTCCATGGGAGGCAAAGCCTGGTCTATCTTCTCATTTGCGCCGCGTCGGATGTTGGCTGCTAGGTATTGGAGGTCTTCTATTGATTGTAATTCGATTCTTCGCTGTAATTCTGCCATTGGTTTGCGCGGTTCTTCTACATGCGACAAAATCGAGGTCGGTAGATGGGGTTTGGTAGGTATATTTGTATTTTTGTGCTGTTGATTGTCGCTCTTTTTTCTAGAGGTGAGTTTGTTGTCGCTGGATTTTTAGAGCATGTTTACATGCTCGGAGCTTTGTCGGAAATCGGCTCTCTTATCCGGATACCTCGGCTGCCATGGCTATTACATCCGGGTTCCGAATGGCGGGGTAGAAGATTACCCGTTTTGACATAACGCAGAACATACAGTATCCTAGGTATTCATTCTTCTGCACAGCCAACATCATTTTTGATAGACTATCTTTGCGTCTAAGAGCCAAGCTATACCGTAAAAAGCTTCTAACATTATTTGATATCACCCAACCCATGATCAAATCCCAGAAGTTGCACCTCACAATTCACAACTCCTACTCGAGTATTTTATCCGATATGGTAAACAAGAGAAATTCGACGAAAAGACCCCTTTGGAACTCCCACCAACCCTTAAAACCTTCAGAGCACGTTCCTGACCTCAATAATCGAAACATTGAGATATTATATCTCTAAATTTCTTGTACTTTCATAGCATAAGCACATGTAATAAAACCGTCGCAGTATATACGCAATAAGACTCTAGATTTCCCTAGGGGCGTCGAGGATATCCTTGGGAGTTTTCCCACCGAGGATCGGACCATTACGAAGCTTTGGGAGAATTGAAGATTTAAGTTTGCTGGTGCATCTACTGCTTTAACCTTGTATTAGAGGATATGATGTGATTAAGAGAAAATTAGATATTTCGTGGAAAAATAACTAATTTATTACTATGGAAGGTTCTTTCAACTTTAATTTACTAGTTGCGATAACGCCTTTTGTCGAAAAGAACTCTATTATGTTAGTTATACAAATCTTCTAGGACTTTTTGACTCTGCCTTCCATCTTACGTGAAACAACAAGATATCTGGAGGAAGCCCTTTCCTACTCTTACCGATTCGTTACGAATTCTTTTACCCCTTACACCTCGTCATATAATACAACAGCACCTGAACTGTCATTTGAACAACTTCTCCTCCACTGCCAATCACTACCAGAGAAACCCTCATCCCCCCATATAAACAAACACTCCCTTCCCTTCCACTTCAAAACACTAGCAGTAGGATCCAATAACCTCAACCCCTCCTCGATTCCTATAACTATTGCTTTCTCTCCACCCGGCGTGATCTTCCTCAGCTCTCGATCATGAATCGTCACAAACGCATGCCCCTCTCCATCAAGCGCACAATAGCCTCGCATCCCCCTTTGGTCTCGCAATCTTTTCAAACTGCCCTGTTCGATCTCCCTCTTATCTATTCAACATGTGAAAAGGTACCAAGAGCCGAATTCGTAAAGTACAAATATTTCCCCAAGATTTTGAGCTCATTGACACCAAGTGGCACACTAGGCTCGCTTCCCAACCCAAGGACGAGATCTGAGAACGCGCACTCAAATACACGGGTCTTTTCCATCGAAGCGCAGGATACAACTACCAATTGAATTCGCACTTATCAAAAGATATGGGTTATGGGGTAGACTGACTATCCCGATCATCATCTCTGTTTCTTGTATCGGTATAATGTCTCAAGTCATCGCATTTCTTCTTCTCCGTCTCTTAGCGAAACGATATATGGCGTATGTATCTGGTGCGATGGTTGAGACTGCTGTAAGCGCGGTACACCAGGTAAGGTCGCGAAGTGTAAGGGGATTGGAGAGGAGGTCTGGAGGTTGAGCATGTAGAAGTTTCCAGGGTCCAGAAGCGAGTATTGTGAGGAGAGCGCCGGAGAGGACCCCCAAAATTCACCCAGTGCAAAAACAAAGAACACAAAATCCATTCACTGCCCATCGAATAACCTACCCTTGGCATCCCCAGTAGAAAAAAAAGTAAGAGCCAAAAAAATAAAAAGAGAAACATACAACAGCAGGTATTCGCTGGTGGTCACCCACCCAACTACTAATCTGCCGATCTGAGGCTTGTGTATGGCAGAGCGGACGGGACGCCCAATTCTCCTCAGTCTATGGTCGTATGTGACAGTCTGTTACATAACAGAGGATATATATGTGAATATTTTCGGAGAACGTGAAGGTCTCTACAAATGTGGGCGTCGGCAAGGCGTATATTTGTTGGGTTTGAAGAAGGCGTGTAGGTTTTGCAATTAGGGTAGCCATGGAGAAAGGTTTGGAAGCAATGTACGTATCCTATACATAAACGTTTTTGTTACCTGGGTTTTGGAGGGAGTCGAAAGTTTGAAGTGGCAATCTTTCGGCATGTAAGTAAGCAAGAGTCCTAGCACGGCATTCCATGATTACTGTTGAATCAATAACGATCAAATAACAAATCGCAGAATGCTTATACTTGCTACTACTGCTGCTGCTACTACTACTACTCCTGTAACCCCCATACACCCACACGCCCACCCATTTGAGACTAGATCTTAAATTCTCATCTGTACATTCGCTACTCTTACAACCTACGATCTCACTGCTACATCCTTACTGTCATGTATGGTTGGCGCTCGAGCATGTTGTTCAGGAGAAAGGGAAAGAGTGAACCAGAAGCGGATAAAATATCTCACAGTTATGCGTCTCGCTTATTTCCAGCCTACTAATAATACCTTCCTAAAGAGGCTAGGGTGCACATGTTACGCTAACAACTATTTACTACCTAATTACCTGTCCTTACTCCCACTTCTAACTTCTCTTCCCTTTCCTTCATGGGACTTTATCAGCGACTATCTCCTGGACAGTTCCAGGTATCCTTTGATAAGGATTCGGCACTTTGAATCTCTAAACACCAAAGATTTACAAAAGAAAGCCGCGCACGTTCTTGATTCACTTGAAAGAGCCCCCAAACCGTTCACGAGATACGGCAGCTAGGAGGGGATAGGGGGTCACTTGTAAGTAGGCACGGCGGCAAGGGGATACATAGCGCTCGCTAAAGTACAAGTATATAGGCAGCAAGTGCAAAATACGTAAGAGGTTATAAAAAAGGGTGTGTGAGATGGTAAAATTGTAGTATAGGACTTGTAATATGTATACATATATGACAACTTAGACTAGATTCAACAGACCGCCTCTATTCTCTAGCTTTTCCTGCTATATCAAGTGGCTTTTGTGGTTTTCGATTCAATAGTTATTGAGCCAACTGTAGAATACCTGTTCATTACCCTGTACACATCTTAATTAGGTCTATTCTACTAGAACCCCTGAAATAGGGAAATTTCTTGTTTTAGGTTACTTAGGCCAGTAAAGATATAGCAATTTGATTTAGCCCAGATCACTCGTATAACTATTGAGTCTTGCGAGGCTTTCAGGTTAATATTGTTGTAGCTCACATTTGTACGGAGTTATAACCAAGTCTCTTACGAATGGGCCACCGTACATAGCGATAGTTGAGCAAGGTTCGGCATTTGGAATACGATTCCACGGATTCCAAGATTCCATTCCAAGGTGGAACATTCCAAAGGCTCTTTAATTTGGAATGGAATATTCCAAACGATAAGGCTTTGGAATTTGGAATTCCAAAGGATATATATATATCACTTTTCAACTAATAAGAGAGCTCTATTTGTTATAAAGTGAGCACTGAAATTGTGATTTTTACCTACGCCTAATCAACTATCGTCGTCTCCTACATATAACTAAGGTGAATACGAGTGGTTATAGTATTTGTACTGCCTGTACCGTCAGTCTAGGAGTACGTGTGACGCAGGAGGCGCAAATACGTGTATTTAAGGCTCTTTTGCGCGTCCTAGTAAGATGTGTAGGGGCGACATTGTGATATTATTGTTGTAGTGTTGTAGTGTTGATAGTATAGATAATGGTGCTAAGGCTAGGCTTCCTATTGGTTGCACGGACCGGAACTACTTTTTGCCGGTCACGTGAGTAATTCCAACTGGAATTCCAAATATTCCACCCTTTGGAATGGAATATACCAACACTTATACTATTTGGAACGGAATATTCCATAGAGGGGTCTTGGAATAGAATGGAATTACAAATGCCGAACCTTGTAGTTGAGTTACTATAAGGCTTAGCGTCTAACAGCATACCAACCGCCAAAAACCTTTCAATTTACACTTGCAAGCAAACGGAAAGATTGTTGACTTATCACATTTTTGGTTTCGACATACGAGAGAGCAGCTTGCTGGTACTGGAAGGATAAGGAAATTCCAAAAGAGCTATGAGGTATATTTTTTGATTCCCTTACTTCTTTAACAGAAGACCTTCACAGTTAAAATGGATTATCTGTGGTAGGTAAAGTCTTGACTTGAAAGTAAAGAAGTCTAATACAACACATCTACCCCTTTAGATAGCAGATTCCCGAATCCGCCTAGAAAGCAGGCACTAGTCAACCAACGTCATCAAAAGGGACAAGATCCTTTACGGCAGTTAAAAATAGAGACATCTCCTGCAAGCATGAACATGCTTGTGAGACTCCTCTGCTAAACGAGAGGGTTGAGTGACATGGAGCGATAGAGGTTTGTTAAGGCCACTTGTAACGTTCATTGCGATTTCCGTCAGTCTTCTCAACATAAACTTCATCCATTTTTCCCCTCTAGCTCTAGTATATTCTTAAATGGCTAACGCCACCGAGATGCGAGCAGAGTAGCAATTGCATAAGAAACACGCCCAAATGAACCCAACTGATGTAGGCGAAAAAGAAAACCACCACTCGAGATCACGAGTATATCCATCAATATATCAACCCATCATCACCCGTAATTACTTCTTGCCCTTTGCCTTCCCCTTGCCCCCCTTTATCTTTCCATTTTTCGAGCTCTCCCCGTTCCCTTCTTGTCGATTATTGCCTGAGCCCCTTTGTGTGGGCATTCCCAGGTCTTCCTCTCCAAGCTCCTTAACCAGCTCGCTCAAGATACATTGTCTCCTCGCCTCCCACCACGCCTTCTCTTCTTCTCGCTTCTCTTCGATTGCTGCGAGTTTCTTGTCGAGGTCCTCTCTATCCATAATATTGTAGGCGCAAGACATGATTCTATCGGCAAATTCATCAGAGGTAGTAGCCCTTGCCTACACTTCTCATTAGCTCAATTCGCGTAGCTTCAGTATTCACAGAAACCATTTGTCCAGATTTGAGCGATAGAATCTCAGGACAGAGCCAAGAAAAGAGGAAGACAAACCAGTTTCGACACCTTTTTCAATTCCTCCTCACAGACTTTCTCCGCATTCGCCACCCACCTCGCCATTTCCTCGCCAATGCTTCCCTGTGCGGCCAATATCTTGCAAGCGTCATTCTGGTCCTTGATTGCCAGTGCCCTCCTAAGGGCCTCGGTTGCCCACTTAATCAACGCTGCATTGTGTAAATATCGCGCTTCTTCCATCTCTGCGCCCAGGTCTAGCTGGGGGTTCGATTCGGAGAGTTCCTGGAGGTGCTTAATTTGCAATACCACGACGTTATTGTAAATCTGTCGGGCGAGGACGAGGTGTGGAGGGAACCAGGGGGTAGCAGTTCGAGCTTTCGCTAGCAGCGCGTATTAGCCTCAATTCATATGGGCTTGAATAGAGAGGATAGGAGTAGATCTTCATATCCGACCTGGAATGATGAAGATCGGAAGACGCGAATTGGCCAAATAAACAAGTCTTGACTTACCTTCTTTTCTCTTCTTCCAGAGATCGGAGACAGCGACCGTAAGCATAAACCAGAGACAGAACCAAGGCGAGAAAGGATGCTCAAAGGCGATCCAGAAGTATGCCATGAATGCTTTGAGAGAGTTATCCATTGCGCGAAATTCTGTGGTGGTGTTTATGGTGGTGTGGTTAGGCTGAAGAGGTGATAGGTGGAGTCAGTTGGGATAAAAGATATCGGTGGCTGGTCGGTGGTCGGCGTTACAGGCTCGCTTAATTATCCGACAATGATTGTGATTGTTTACAATCAGTGAATGAGCAAATCTTCTGACTTTTCCTGGATTATATTGTTTAGATGAACACAAATAATAAGAAAAACATACTGGTACACAAGGGATAGAATTATTAATTTGTACTTTCCAGATGTTGTTATTTCGCGTAAGCTCAGAGAAGAAGCTTAATTATTCAAAAGAGTTATATAACTTATTCACAAAACAGTTAATTACTCAAATAACACAGGTATAATTACAAAGTTCAAGTGAGTAACTATAGTCATGAATGCTAGTTTGTCATAATACAACCTTCATTCATTCTGGCAAAGCAAATATCCTAGTAGCTAATCACGTGCTGACAAGAATTCTCATTGTTTTAAAGTATTATAGTAATTATTATAATCAAGGGTCTTTGACATAAAGAAAGTTATGATGCCTAGTATTTTATGATGCAACCCTCCATTCATTTATTTGCTTTAGTAAATCAAGTCTCTTCCTACGTATTTTATGTACATGTACTGTACAAACTAATCATAAAGTACCTATCTACCAATTTGCAATACCTTCTATTCATCGTTCAACTATCCCTCTTCCTTTTTCGTTCCCCTTCATACAATAGTACTAGGAGGCTTTTTTCCTGTCGCTATAATTGTATTAGAATACAGTCTACTAGAAATAAAATCAAGCGACTGCCAAAGGGGAGCAGTCTGAAACATTACAATTAAAATTTAACTTGAAAGATTTCAATTCCATAGATGTACTCTGCTACAATGCATTCGCTACCTAGATGAAGTGTATGGTGACTAGAATCACCATCCACCGCCAGTGGCTGCTGCAGAACTATTATCATCACCCCAGCCCCCAGCGGCAGAGGCATTACCATCGCTGGCTCGTCTCTTCTGTGCCTTCTCGGCGTTCTTTCCAGCTCTCATAGCATGACGACTTTTATTTTCCGAACAAAGCAATCCTCCTTCATGCAAGTGGTATCTGCATTTGCTGTTGTTATCAATGTATCGAGGGTCCTGGGGATCTTCGCGAGCGATGCGAGTAAAGTCGTCGTGGAAATCAAGGATGGTTTCTTGAACTTCACGGAGCGCCTCGATGGGCCAACTTGCTTCATATCCTGCGAGTTTGGCTTTGGGGCAGTAGACGAATTTCATGGCAAGCAGACAGTATTCCCGCAATTTGCAACCGTGTGGAGTCTTTGTGTAGACAGATTTAGCGAATTCGACGGATGGCAACTCCTTGCATCTTTGGTGACGTCTAGTAAAAGGAGGAGTTAGCCTTGTGTTCTGTGAATTAGATTTAACAATTTGGGAGAGCTGTAAGAAGCGAGAAGACAAAGAGAGGATGATATCCTAGTATCATTCACGAAAAGCGACGCAAATAAGGGGTGTTCTCACTCAATAAGTCGGTCCATGATTCGGTCGCACACTTTTGGAACAAGATAGCGATCGGCAAGGACGTATAGCTCAACAGGATCATAAGCCATTGCGGACTCTGCACCAAGACTCTTGATGTTTCCATGGTAGACGACCATGTCAATCAATTTCTACGTAGAAAGCAGTTAGGACCGACAGCACCCAAAGTAGTAGCGAAGGGGTATGGGGCTTACATCAAAAGCATCAGCGTTGACGTCCTCTAGGATAGAAACACCTTCATCTGCCTCCTTGAACTCGCCCTCAAAGGTTCGCTTGAAGTGCGGGATGCGCTCGCAGAGCGGCTTCTTGTGGATGCGGAACAGCTTCTTCTCAGGGCCAACATAAATATCAACCATCTCCGTACCCAATTTGCTATTCACGGTCAGCACTTCAGAGTTACATCTGATACAGAAGGAAGTCTTACTCCATGTATGACTCGCCAGCAGCAGGTGCAGTGGTAGCTGCGGATAGCTCGATGTCCCACTTCACGGCCACTTTGGGGATTCTCTCCGCACGACTGCCATTCTGTACTCGGCCAGATCTAAAAGCCAAGCCACCGCGTCTACCTCCGCGTGAAGGTCCTTGTCCGCCAGAGAATGGTACGCCAAAAGAGGTGTAGTGAGACATTGTACTTTGACGTGTAAAGACTTTGAGGGGCGGTTGTGGTGTTCTGGAAAGAAGATCAAGAGGCCTTGTCGCTTCTTAGGTTGAAGAGCTTTTCGCCTGATAATTTATCAGCCTGCCCTTGCTTGCGCAAATGCCACTAGCGCCAACAACAATCCCATGTCCTGTGGCTTAGTGATTGGACAAGAATCGGTCTTCACCCCCGTAAACTCCTAGGTACTCGGCCTTGCTAGCTGGAGGCGAGGAGGCGCTGGGTCACGTAGTCGTCAAGAGTTACCCTACCACTACCATACCACTGTTAAGCAGCGAGTGAAGCTCAACAGAAAGAAGACGATAGAGAAGATTTGATGAATAGGGTTGTCTCGTTCCTCTTCTCGGATCCAGCATACTGTATTACACATCGAAACCGAGGTTACAGCAACTTGTGATATATATTCTCTTGAAATGTTCTAGGAGAGGGAGGCTTTCATTGTATGCAACAATCGAGGAAGCGAAGGCACTCCGACTCCAGATACTCACCATGCCTTTCTTCACATGACAGAGCCACAAGTCAACTCAAAAACTATCTGTGAAGTTCAAAGTGATTTTGTCCATTAGAGCTTGGTATTACAGCTCACCAAATAAAGCACACTCCCAATAGACAATAAAACTGACAGAGACTCCTATTTGTAAGCTCGTTTCCAATTAATCAAATATCTGAAACATTTCAGGACAATTGCTTTAATCAACCAAGGGATTTCGGTTAAAACTCGATTGTTTTGTTAGCCGAGAACCCCCAATTTCCTAAATAATAAAACATACTCCTTTTACACCAGCGTGTTAAAAGCTTAACTAGCTACTTGATTAGACTTAAGTAGTAATCAAGTAGAGTAGTTCGAGGATAAGCAGAAGGCAATCAAGTTATTTCAAGTAGGATAATTAACTATTTAATCAGCATTTTACTTAAAGATACCACTCTTCTAAACCCTCTACAATCGTATAGCATCCAGCTATAATACCTAAGAACAGATACCAACTAATTATAGACTAGCTTCTACTATCAAATCAAAAAGCTATTCGACTTACAAAAAAACTCGGCTAAATCTAGGCCCCTTAACCGACCAACCAGAGTGTCGCAAGGGGCTAGGGCTGACTTGCTCTATACTACCAAAAAAGGAATCAATTAATCGAGTACTTGGCTGGTTGGAGTAGGCAATTTTCACTACTTAAGTTAAGTACAGCAGGTGCTCTACTCTAATCAAGTACTCGAATTTAACACGCTGTTCTACACTACCGTAGTACGAAATAATTCTCCACCACTCATCTATCGCGATATACAACTCCCACATCCCCACCGTCTCGCTTACGCCCACCACCTCCCATCCAGTCAATGAACCACAAAAAGGGAAAAGAAGAACCCTTCTCTATCAGCTTTACCCACAACAACCATCATCCATCCAGTCATTCCAATCCAAAAAAATGAAAATGAATCGCATACCCTTAGACAATCAACGCTGTTACCAGTCGATACCAGCACTCTGAGCGAACCTGGGTTGGTGGTTCACCTACCCTCAACGAATATCGTATAATCTTACATCATTCATTAACTAGCACCTACACATACCTCTTGCTGGAAGAATTATTTATACACGAATCAGTTCTTAGTGTTGGTCAAACACACATTCATGCATGCATGAAGATTACTCCTTACTATAAATCAAGTCACTTGCACAATGGTAAAAAAGTATACGAATAAGAGACTCGCTTAGAATCTTTCTTTCTTTTCTACAAACCCCGAGCCTGTTCATACATGTGCCATGATAGCCTTCGGCTCGTCCTGACCTAACACCATCATTTTCAACAACCTATGGAGTAACCTTGCTCATGCTAACTAATCGCTTAACACCAACCTAGAATAATTCATTAGCAGGGTATAAACGCATTCGATTCAGTGACTTACCATCCAGTTTCCGCACTCTTCGGTCTTCTCACGTTGAATGTCTACTTGTATCTTTGATGCAACATCATAGTTTTTGGAGAGAAGGGCTTCGGAAAGTTCATTCAACCTTTCAATGGTATCTGGTTTCACCAATTCCTCATTGTTCAGATGATCAAATAAAATATTGAGTCGCTTTTGGGTATCCTTAACCTGTGCAGAAAATGATGGCGGTGCTTTGGAAGCAACTCGCTGCATGTCATTACTGAAAATCTCTACCAAGCGTTGAGCTGTGGCAGGAATGTGAGATCGGTCACCAGCTGGGTGCTTTGCCTTGGCCGGCGCAGCTGCTGGAGCTGGAGATGCTCTTGGAGGTCCTGTGGGTGATCTGGAACCCCGAGGAGGTCCCTGAGGAGGCCCTTGTGGTGGTCCCTGCGGTGGTCCTTGAGATTGAGGTGGACCTTGTCCTGGGAAAGATTGTGGGGGTGGCTGGCTCTGGTATGGAGATTGCGATGGAGCATATTGGCCAGGAGCGTTTACTTGTGGCGCATAAGGGTTCGCAGATGGTGGGGGTCTACTACCCGCTGGGGGAGGAGGTGCCAAATGGGATTGTGGGGGTGGTGGCTGTGAATACTGTTGTTGTGCGGGCGATGGTGCATATCTGCTTGGTGGAGGTGCCGCAGCTGGAGGCTGATTATATGGCGATGGTCCTCGAGGAATTGTTGGAGGGGGAGCACCGTGATACTGCTGTTGAGGTGGTTGACTTCCTTGTGATGGGGCGTACAAGTTTGCAGCAGAGGATGGTCTGGATGGAGGACCCTGCAATGATTGAGAACCAGCCATTGGTGGCGACGTCATACGAGCAGGTCCTTTGGGTGGTGGGGGTGGAGTAGCAGTTGTTCGCGAAGAGAATGGCGGCGGAGGTATAGCAGTATTTTGCTGTTGTGGAGCAAATGGCGAGTTCCCAACGGGAACAGGAGTGCTCCGCTTGGCTGGTGTTGGTTTGGATACCATTGGGGTGTCGTTCCAGTTGACCCACTCCTTTGCTTTTGGTGGTGGTGGTGCTGTAGATGATGGAGTGGTATTTCGTGGTGGACCACCAAACGAATTGGGTGGAGGAGCTCCGTAAACTTGACCATACGCCGGTGCACTGTATCCTGCTTGTGACTGAGGTTGCTGATAACCTACTTGAGGATTGTATGCATTGGTGGGTGGAGCATAGGGGTTTTGAGCAGGAGTCACTGGATTTGGTGGTGCGTATGCGTTTCCTGGGCGAGGCGGCACCGGGGCAGATGAGTTGACGATGTTTGGCTGGTAACCAGGTTGGGCACGAGCTGGAGGTCTCGTGGCGGTTGGTAGTTCTTGACGAGCTGGTTTAGCCACACTTTTCCTAGAAGCAAGCTTCACACGGTTTCGGGCCACCTCAGCAGCAGGATACTTGGTCGGCAAAAGATCCAGATATCTTTCTGCAATCGACAAATGACCATGAGCAGCGACGATGTCAGCATACTCGGTATATTTATCATACAATTGGGCAAGCTTCCAACCCGAAGTCAATCCTTGCTCGCTGTCTTGGAACTTGGTAACATCTCGGAAAACGGTAACCTTCTCAATAAAGTTTTGAAGGGAACGCGCATGCACCGAGAAGCTCGAATCCCCTGTAAGTTCCTTGATACCGGTCTTCTCTTCCTCCTGCAACTCAGTGATCCAGATATTGATGACCTTCTCGAGTTTGGAACCAACAAGATAACAGAAGGAAGCGTCTTTGGAAGAACCACTCTCAATGATTCGGTCACCAAGAGCCTCGCAAAGATCAGGAAACTCTTCAGGAGTTGCATAGGTGCAAAGGGCAGCCATCGACTCCTTCCAGTTGGAGAGATCTGCATTATAAACGACATCCCAGAGGTTCTTGCCAATTACCGAAGAAAGGAGGCGAAGGTAATTTGGCCCATCAGTCTTACGAGCTAGATAGGCAGATTGTGCCTTTTCAAGGAGTTCCTTGCCGCCACAATTTGCAATGATCAAAGCATCGGCAATACGATCCTCTTTAATACAAATTGTCATGGCCTTTTCAAATTGACCAAGCATAATAGCCTTGGTTATTTGCTTCTCCGAGGCGCTATCAGTGTCGGCGTATAGATGGAATGGGTTATCTGTTTTTGCACCCTTGGTAGCAGCTAGGTTGGACAAGAAGTCCTCACCCTCGCCCTCGCCGCCATCAGCGAAAAAGCCAGACAAACGACTGCCTTTGCGGCCATTGGCCTCATCGCTAGGCTCCTCAGTCTTCTCAGACTCTTCATCTTTGACCTCCCCGTTGGCGGCCTCCTCTGTGAATCCAAGATATATCGTTACCTTTTTTCGAGGATTCTCAGCCACCAATGTCTCGATAACTTTCCAGTCTGCTTTTTCTTCCTCTGACTTTGCTTGCTCGATGTGAGATTCACAAATACTGCTAATGTTGCCAGCAAGGAGGGCCTTTTCAAAGGCTTCTGTAGCTAAGCCGACATCCGAATCAACTGAGAAATTGGAAATTTGAATCTTGGAAGATCGTGGCTTGCCTGAAGCGTCTGAAGGTAGACTGAAGCTCACAATCTTGCCGCCGAACCCAAAAGAGGCACCTGCTGGTCGTTCGAGCCATTTTGGTGCTTTGTGCAACGAAAATGAAGCTCCTTGCGGTTGTGTTTGTGCCTTGGTGAAGAAATCCTCTCCATCGACGGGCCCTTGTACTGGAGTTTGCGTAGCTGCGGGGTTTGTGTTTTGCAATGTCTGAATAGCAATCTTACCATCAAAAGAGGCTGTAGCAGATAAAGCAGGATTGTGAGGATTGAATCTAGTCTGAAAAGTCCAGTTGGTGACTTCTGGAAATTCTCCAAAACGCTCTTCAGTCTGAGGGTTCCATACAATAGTCTTGTTGTCTTTTCCACAAGATAACAAAAGATCACTGTCCTGTTGACACCACGAGAGGGAGAGGATACCTTGGTCGTGCCCTTGGAGTGTACGTTCTGGGGCGTTCGAATTTCGGAGATCCCATAGCAAGATTACTGGACTCGAATCGTCTGGGGTTGCCGTGAGGAGCTTAGTAGCATTATTTGGATCCCAAGCGATTGCTCCAACAGCCTTTCGGTTGTTGTTCAAAGTGAGTGATGCTTTCTTTGTCTTCAAGTCCCAGACCGTGACAAAACCACCACTTCCTCCAGTCGCAAGAATATGCGGAACCTTTCTATTCCATGCTACGCACTCGAGATCATCTGAACGTGCCGCAGCTGTGCCGAGTCTGAATGGGTTCGCGATATCGTTTACGTCATAAACAAACAACTCTCCCTTTGCGCCAGCCGTCGCAAGAACCTGTGGCTTTAGAGGATTGAATTGAAGAGACTTGATTGCGCCAGTGTGCTTCGATGTTCGTGACATGAAGGCATCTTCGGCCCCCTTCAAAAGCTTCTCCGCATCCCACAAGTCCAAGGATCCATTCTCGAGTGCTCCAGCAATTATTCCTCTTGGGTGTTCGGCGCTCGCGGGTGCCCATGCAATATCATGGAATCTGAAAGCGGTGTTTAGTTATGAAGTGCTTTGCTTTTGGGGCAATCCGAGGGTAGCTACCTTGAATCTGTGCTGATGCTGGCAACCGGCTGAAGCTCAACACCCTGCTCCAGATTATCCAGGCTCAAATCCCAAAGCTCCAATTTTGTCTCATCAGAGAAGTCAGCGTCTACTGCTCCAGCTCGTGTGCCAGTCACGACCAAGGGCACTTCAGCTCCTGGTGACCACGCAAAAGCCGCAGTTCGTGGGATTTCCCTAAGGCGGACCATCTTGAAGAGGCTAAGCACTTAGGACTGGAGCTTTCCAATGGCGCTTTCCGGAATTATTTTCGTAATTGTACACCAGCAATGAAAAAGAGGAAAACAATCGCGCTGCAAGAGTCGTAATTTAAAAAGGAGAGTGCGTCGACAGTGTCGTTGAAAAGTGGTCAGATTGAATGTGTACCAACCTATCTTAAGTTCCTTTGGACACATTTCCTGGAGTAGCTCTCAGACCACGTGACTGGGTCTTGGACCTCGACCAATGAGTAACACCCATTGACTTTCTGAATCCTTCAAGATAGGTAGTCTGCTCGAGTACGCGAGTAATAAACATGAAAACAAGAATAATGTCTTGCGAATGATACGTCTTTCCTTCAGAATGACCAAAAAGGCTAATCAAGTTTGGAATAGAAAAAGAATAGAAGGAGCCTGCCCGTCCTTGTGGTATTTAAGTTGCAGCATCTCCATTTGATTGTGCGGACGAAACCAAAAAGACACACCAAATGCACTTCAAGAATCTATAAACATGAGGGTTTTACGTTTAGTGTTAGAAAGAAGGGTCGAGGACTTTCGACTGTCTATGAAATCCCGAGCTCGGAGTTCTCCTATTACTCTCGGCTAGCTCTCCCCTGGTGTTCGTACATGCCTCCCAAGCTATTCCCTGGATCAACAATAATTCCTCCCTCTTATCAACGTCAAGACCTTCAATATCCATCTTACCATCACTTCAAAGAAACAGCATTTCAAACCCCCGACCGAAGTCCTCTCCAATACCCGCATACAAATCGCCATCCATCAAACCACATACCTACGCTACCTAGCTAGTCCCATCCTTGTCCCACCAACTAATGCAAAGCCGCTGCAGTCGCACCCAATACTGCACCACCATATGCATGCACTGCGAACCTCCCATCCTCCACAGGGGTTTTTGGTGGCTAGGCTGGTCCTGTAGATGAGAACCACGAATTCCGTTTCCTAATTTTCGCCACTTGGGTTTTTGTCTTTCTTCTTTCCCTTTATATCCTTTGGTAACGCTGGTTTTTTTGTTATCGTAGCCTGATAGCTCGAGCTTCTATTTCGGATGGAAATCCCCACTTGATGTTTCATGTGGGGCCGGGGTGGATTCATGACTGGAAACCTCCACGAACTTGAAAGCTGCAGCTTTCGAACTGAACTCCCTAGGTACATGAAGAACGTTGACCATAAATGTTATCTTGGAGTTTGAAGATACCTTGAAGGTTAACTCACTTGAACACTATTCTTATTTATAAGTTTAATCAGCATGTTTTGTTCAAGTAGTTGTACTTGGCACTTTTTGACCCCGCTACAGTACGAACCGAGTTTCGGGTGATGATGCTGTCAAAATGACAGTTGAGCGCTGCGTAACCGCTCCCTTTTTGGCCAGGCAGCCGCCATGGTTTAGTTGAAAATGTCTACAAGTACTGTAGAACCTTTCCTGGAACTGGGGTAACGATCGGATGTCCCCCAATTTAGCGTCCGTTTTTTTACCAGCCAGATTTCACGATTCTGCCTAGCTGTCACATCCGGTCCCGCACCAGGCATAAAGATAAAAGAGGGGATGACTCGAATTCCTATATAGGTTCCCGATCGAAATATGATGAAAACCTCAAACCGACACATTGCTGTGATTCCATGAATACCAATCTTGTTGACTCGCAGTGACCCGATAAAGTAAACACAGAGACAAAAGACGCCGAACCACGAGCTCTAGAAGCTGACCCTATATCAAATGCCGAACTCCACCAAATCCAAACCTTCGTGCCCATAAGTTGCTCGTACAGTGAAAACCCTTCCACAAGCCAAATCCTGCACATATCTGTACTCCCTCATTCAAAATCATCAAGTTCATATGTTCAAATCCTAGCGCCAAAGATGTGCAATTCCAGTACTCCTAGTCGTAGAGCTCATGGATACCCCTCGCCGATAAGCTTCGGATTTATTGTGGGAACATCTTCTTGATCTCCTCGTCGCTGAGAGTGATTTCGTGGACTGGATCACGCTTTCGTTCGAGTGACTCGAAGTCACATTCCACGTAGGAAGGGAGGAAGATTTCTAGTTCGTAGAGTTAGTTTGGCCGTAGCGACTGCATAATTGTGAGAATCTGAAGCGTACCTGGATTCCAATCAAAGCCTTGTGAGGATCGAACGCAAGTGATCTACAGTCAACAAGTTAGTGCACTTGAATTTTGGTGATAATGCCAAGTTCCAGGACTTACAAGGCGTGGCACACCATCTGGGTCACCAACATTGATGACCGTATGTTCTTGCTTGGAGAGCGATGAGCCTGGGTGTTTGTTAGCTCTCTTGACTGTGCCAACTCGTTGCGTTGCTGCCTCGAGAGATTGAACAAACTTCTACTACCTCAAGCAGCTCCACCAAGTGTGCTACTACCCGGACCAAATGAGTAATGGGGCAAGAACTTACTCAACAAACTAGGTCTTCGATAATGACTATATCTTGTGCTCGAAAAAGCAGAGGTAGGAGAGGAGGCATTCGTTCGTTGGGACTTTGATTGTGGTGTTTGTGGAGAGCTTGAGTAGGACGAGACGGAGCCAGCCTTGCTGCTCTCACCGTAGGCGGCAGTTCTGCTTGGAATGGCGATGGATGAAGACATGGCGAAAATGGTATACAGGAGACAGAAGTGTAAGTGTAGCAAAAGCAAGAAGACGAGGAGAATTTTTGCCGGTAAAAAGAAAGTGTGGGAAGTGATTGTCGACTTGGTTGTTATGTTGAGGTGTTGAAGATGGATGAGTTGAGATACGATGAACGAACGGCCTGAGTCAAGCTCCGGGGAGCGGAGCCAAAGGACCCGCTAGCCTGCCGATGATGGAGTTCTGCCAAGATATGCACTGATGCCTTATAATACTGCCTCATAGTTGAGGCTCCAAGTCGACCCTCTGAGCCTCGTAAGTGAGAGCTTGCCTGGCCTGCTGTTCAACACGCGCCATCACCGAGACCCTCCCTTCCAGCAGCTTCGACTCTATCCACAACAACACCACCAAGAACGGCGCTTCATCAATTTCCAATCCCATAACCACCACATTCCGAGTCGCACATTGTTCACGATGGGGGAAGTACTGGCTGAGAACCCTGCGAACCAGGTCTTGCCGCACCGAAAGCAAATGCCATCCTCAATACCAAATGTCGATTCGCTGGAAGGTCTAGGAACCGATGGATCTGACGAGTATTCCACATTAAAAAAGCTGCAGAGGCATTTAGAGTGAGTTGGAACTGGCTGGAGCTGGTAACTCAAACTAATAGAATGTAGATACATCCAGCTACAAGAAGAATATATCAAGGATGAGCAACGGTTCGAATGCCTGATATCCATCTAACATTCCGGCAGATACTAATTATTCTCAGGAGTTTGAAAAGAGAGCTGGTCAGAGCACAGGAAGAGATCAAGCGCATTCAGAGTGTGCCATTGGTAATTGGCCAATTTATGGAGGCTATCGATCAGAAGTGAGACGACAAACAAAGCCCCCGAGCATCCTGAATCAACACTAACAATTTCCTAGCACCGGCATTGTACAATCATCAACAGGCTCTAATTATGTCGTCCGAATACTTTCTACACTCGATCGCGAGCTTCTTAAGCCATCGTCATCTGTTGCCCTCCACCGTCACTCCAACTCCCTTGTTGATATCCTCCCTCCAGAAGCCGATTCCTCCATCGCCATGTTGGGCGCAGATGAGAAGCCAGATGTCACATATGCCGATGTTGGTGGTTTGGACATGCAAAAGCAGGAGATTAGAGAAGCTGTTGAATTGCCCTTGACGCATTTCGACCTTTACAAACAAATCGGTATTGATCCACCACGAGGTGTTCTCCTATACGGTCCTCCCGGAACAGGAAAGACCATGTTGGTAAAGGCAGTTGCAAACTCTACCACTGCAAGTTTTATCCGTGTTGTTGGATCCGAATTCGTGCAAAAGTACTTGGGAGAAGGTCCTCGTATGGTCCGTGATGTTTTCAGAATGGCCAGAGAGAACTCGCCGTCCATCATCTTCATCGATGAGATAGATGCCATTGCGACCAAACGTTTCGACGCTCAGACTGGTGCAGACAGAGAAGTTCAACGTATTCTTTTGGAACTTCTCAATCAAATGGATGGATTCGACCAAACCTCCAATGTCAAGGTGATCATGGCCACCAACAGAGCCGATACTCTTGATCCTGCTCTTCTCCGACCTGGTCGTCTCGACAGAAAGATCGAATTCCCTAACCTCCGAGACCGAAGAGAGAGACGATTGATTTTTACCACCATTGCCTCGAAAATGTCCTTGTCACCCGAGGTTGACCTTGACAGTTTGATTGTCCGAAATGATCCTCTAAGTGGTGCCATTATCGCGGCCATCATGCAGGAAGCTGGATTGAGAGCGGTTAGAAAGAACCGATATAACATTATCCAATCAGATCTCGAGGATGCATACTCCAGCCAGGTGAAAGGTACACAAGAGGTAAGAGGTTTTCTCCAAAATACCAAATTCTTAAAATTAGCTTCTAACAAATTACTCAGGCGAACAAATTCGATTTCTACAAGTAGAGTATTTTTGATGCTGGTGCGGGATTTGGAACAGGAGTTGTCAAACACGGTCGCCTTTTAATGGGCAAGGCGACCTTGTATTTGGAGCTCCTGGAAAATGAAATGGAATGGAATTGGCAAAAGAAAAGAGGTAATATTAGGGAATGGCTATGCCCTTACCTGTTTTTGTCATTGGTGGTGGTGAGAATAAGCGAGATGCCGAACATGTACAACAAAAGAAATAGAGACACAAAACATTTGTGACTACAATTCTTCTAATATCGTTCCCTAACACCTTGATCTCTGTATTGTGTTCCCGGTGACCCTGTGTAGTGATCATGAATCTTTCTTTACAAGAATCGGGGGTCTTATTTCCGATAGCACTTATTTGTACATAAGATGTAAAAGAGCTTTATTACCTAGGTGCTATTAGGTAACTCCTGCATATAGGCTATATATATACATACACACTCCCAACTTCCGTAAGCATATATTACCACGCATTCCTAGCGTCTAATTAGCTATAGACAATAGTAGAATCATTCCAAACAACCTCCTCACTCACTCAACTCCTCACTCACTCAACCCCACACTCACTCACCCCCTCACTCCATTCCATCTCAAAATTAAAATCAACCTCGCTGTACCTATATTCCCCCCCCCCCCCCCC